GGGGGCCGCCTGCGCGCGGGCCGCGCCTCGTGCACATCGACGCCGGAGTCCAGGCTGGCGTCGGTGCTGCGGCCCCCGCCGCCGGCCTGCAGGTCGATGTAGGAGTGGCGCACCTGGGAGTTGGAGCGCCCATCGAGCGACACAAACCAGGCGCGCGGGTGAGGCTTCACGCCCAGTTCCAGCAGCTTCTTTTCCGTCAGTGCCTGCAGCTCCCCGTTGAGCTGCGCCATAGTGGATTCGTTGAACAGCACGGGAATCGTGACTGAGCCACTGACCGGCGCCGAGCGCCCGCTCCCCCAGCCCTCGCCGCCGCCGCCCCCGGCCCCCTCGCCCCCAGCGCCCGAGTGGCCCTGCATCAGCGGGCGCTGGGGGTCAGACTGGGGGAAGGGGCGCGCGGGGCCACCTGCAGCCGAGCCTTCCAGTGGGGTGGGCTCATCGCCGGCTCCTGCCGCGCCCGCCTCGCCTCCAAGGCGCACGTAGTGTGCGGGGATCACTAGGGTGGGCATCACGTTGCGGTAGACACTGTCCTTGAGGTGGTCGATAGAGCCGCAGAAGATGAGCTGCCCGGCCTGGCTGAGGGACGGCGGCCGCGCCAGCTGGTCCACCGACTGCGACAGCAGGAAGTCGGGGGTCTTGCTCTCGGCTGCCCCCTTGTGGCCCAGGTAGTGGTCGAAGGGCGGCGGCGGGGAAGGCGGTTCGTGCAGGAAGGCTGCAGCCCCGGAGGGCCCCCGCCGGTACTCCTCCAAGCCCGGCTCCAGCCCCCCGGGACCCTCCAGGGAGCGGGCGCCCTTGAGCCCCAGGTTCTCGCCCCCGCGGGCACCCGGAGGCTCGGCGGAGGGGCGGCTGGTCGGACGCTGCTTGGAGCGGAAGAAGTCGTCCCTGGAGGAGGCCAAGTCCCGAGAGCTGGAGAAGGCTGAATGGAGGGGCCCAGGTGGTGGAGCCTCCGGGTCCCCGGAAGAGGCAGGTTCCAAAGGCCCCCCACAGATGAGGTGAAGCTGGGACATGGAGGTGGCCTGGTCACGTTTGTTCCCATCAGAGGGCCCAGTGAGCTGCAGCTTGCGATGCTGTTGTCTTGGTTTCAAGCAGCGCCTCCTGGAGAGGGGGGAAGAGTCAGGGACCCTCAGGACAGGGTGTCGGGAGACGCCTCCTTAGCCCCACACTTAACAAAATGAGACATGAATATGATTGGTGGTTTGGGGAGAAGGCTGAAGCATTAGGAGATGTGGTGGGGTGACCAGCCGGGACCAGGGAGAAGTCTGCCTAAGAGGTTTGGGTTATCTACCTGTGGGAGGCCCTGCCAGTGCCCATGTCACCCGCGTACTCCTAGGAACCCTGGAGAAGGAGCCCTTGTGGGGCTGAGAGGTCACGGTTGGAACCCACCAGTCTCTCCGACAGGAAAAGATGAGGGAGTCTGTCCCCATAAAGACTTAGGGGGCAGTTCTTCTGAGTCTTGGGATCTTTGGGTCACTAAGAATTAGAGTGTGGACAGAACAGGAGTGGCTTTGGGATTGGTATTTTTAGGAGTTGTGGTGGTTCAGTGATTAAATAGCCAGCACTTTGAACTCCATGGGAGATAGGACTAGCAATCTTTCCTGTAAAGATTACAGTCCTGCTCAACCATGGAGGGACACTGTGCATTGGAGCCGACTCGGAGGCACACAGCAGGGGTCAATGGCCATCTTCTGCTCATAGGATATTCTGTGAGAACCTGGGAATCTAAGCTGGTTGGGGACTGTGTCCGACCCTAGGTGCCCGGGGCTGCGCCGAGCAAATTAATTCACAGCATCCCTGTCTGCAGATTTGACTCCCTGTCCACTTCTTGCTCTCTCAAATCACCGGATCTTTAAGGAGCTTTAGTGGTGGAATTTGTTATGTGTTTTTCTGCTTGCTAATTTAAAGGCCAATGGTTTGAATCCACAGATGAAAGATGGACAGTCTCCTGTAAAGATTTAAAGCCTCAGAAACCTGATAGAGGTAGCTTTCGTGGGCTAGTCCAGAGAGGACTGTATTACTAACCCGAAGGTGGTGCCTCTCTGGTGGTTCAAATCCACCAGTGGCTTCTCGAAAGAAAGATGAGCAATCTCCCACGTGATTTACAGCTTCCGAATACTCACTGGTGGGTCAGCTGTGAGTCAGTTCAATGATGAATTCGAGTTTTAATGTGTTGGAATTGACTCAGTAACAGTGTGTTCGTGTCCCTTGTGTTTCCTGTCAGTGCCATGAAGCTCTGACTGTACCTATGGGCCTCCAGGACTCAGTCTAAGGCCCGGGCTAGAGCCCTAGAGCAGGCCCCACTGGGACACTGGGTGAGGGGACAAACACTCACCGGCAGTAATAGATGAGCAGACACAGCAGGATGAGCACCAGCAGGGTCAGGGCTGCCAGGATGGTGAGCAGGAAGATGGTGTGGTAGGTGCCAATGTCTTGGATGCCCGCCGTGATGGTGACCAGCCCTGTGTCAGGCAGGCGCTTAGCATTCCGGGTATAGATATCCTCCCACCTTTTAGAAGCCCACTCTCCCAGCCCTCCATTCTCACCTCCTGCCCACTACTACATCCCCCCCATATCCCGCTGTTGCCCCTCATCTCACCGGCTGTGGGAGAGGCCATGGCAGCAGCCCAGTACCCAAGCTGAGAGGAGACGAAGGTCCAGTACAGCTGCCGACCTTCTCGCCGAATCACGCCGGTGCCATTGCGCACCCACAGTCCTGGGAGAGGTGAGAGTCCATCAGACTCAGTTCACCCCCTCAAGCCCCGCTCTTCCCTTCCCCCCAGATTCCAGCACCTGGAATCCCTGAGACACTCACCACTCTTGGGGTCGAACCTCCAGGCTGGAATGCTGGTGCCCACAGCAAGGGCACGGGGCTCTGAGGGCACTGGCAGGGACAGGTGGAAGGGGCCTGAGAGGGGTACCTCCGTCCCATTGCCTGTCAGCAGATGAACACTCACCGCAGCTAAGGGCAGCAGCTCCAGCCAGGAGCCATTGCCTGGGGACAAGAGACACAAACGCTGAGGGCTGAGCCTTCAGGGGACAGCCCAACCCCTGCTCAACACCTGGCTTACCTGAGCTGGAGGCCTCAGTGCCCAGGAAAGCAGGGAAAGCCCGCATTTCCTGCGGGGTGCTGGCGGGTGTGAGCGAGGCCCAGAGCTGGCTGTAGTTGGAGCCGATAGGCAGGCGGGCAGCTGGATGCTGGAACTGAACCCAGGGCTGAGAGCGGGCACCTGGACAGAGAGAGGGGCTACAGTGAGCTGGCCAGGGACAAGGTTCCCCAGCGGCCAGAGCATAAGCAAGTATTTCTAAAGAGAGACCAGCCACTTGGGAAGGCCAAGGAGTGGAGAACTGAGCAGCTATGGAATGCTAGCCTGGAAGGGAGATGGACCTGAAATCTGGTCCTGGCTGTGTGACCCAGAACATGTTACTTGCTTTCTCTGAGACATCATATTCTTATAAAGTAACTCAGTGATGAGGTTTTGTCTAAGAGGGAGATCAGATACATATAGAAAAAGCATGCCAACAGGTAGGAGAGGGCATTCTGGTGGCCTAGTGGGCAGGGAATTGTGCATCTAACCCAAAGGTGGTTCCTTCAGTGGTTCAAATCCACCAGCAGCTCCTCGGGAGAAAGATGGGCCTTTCCCTCCCATGTGATCTACAGTCTGAAAGCTCTTTGAATGGTCAGCTCTGAATTGGTTCTGTCTCAGTAACAATGAAAACAAACCAACAATAAAGTAAACAACCCCAAAACCCTATAGCAAGTGTTAGATGCCGGGGGAAGGTACAAATATGAATAAGATACACATCCCTGTCTTCAGTGTCATAGTCAGCACACGAGACACACGTCACTATGAAGCACTTAAAATGTGACTAGTGGGGGAGCTCTGGTGGCCTAGTGGCAAGAAGCTGCACTGCAATCCCAGAGGTGCACGTTTTGAATCCACCAGATGCTCTGCTGGGGAAGGAGGGACAATTTCCTCCTGTACCAGTCAGATATGATTTGATGGTACACACACACACAAATAATAAAATAAAAATAAAAAAAATTTTAAAAAATGTAACTAGTGTAAATGAAGAACACATTGTTTTGGTAACTGAAGTTTTAAGTATTAAACTTAGCCACATATGGCTAAATTTACTAGTTACTAGTTTAGACAATTTAGGTTATGTTGGGGGTGGGGAAGGGAGCTCTGGTGGTTTCTTCTTGTTGTTGTTTGCCATCGAGTTGAGCATAACTTATAGCTACCCTGTGAACAAAAGACCTGAAGCCTTTCTAGAACTCTCGTCGTTTCTGGTACTTAGTGGTAAGGAATTGCGCTGCCAGTGCAAAAGTATGATCCTGCGATTTATTGCCTCTGAAAACCTGTTGGCGGTTCACTTATGGGTCGGTTCCAACTCAACGGTACACAGCAGCAGCAACAACAACAATAACAACAACAAGGGAGGGGTGGGTGGAGTGTAAGCATAGAAACAGAATTCCAGTACAATTTAATGATAACAGCTAATATTTATTAAGTCTTAAGGTATAGTTGGCATTGTTCTAAGCAGGCTACTTATATTAGCCTCGTCAATCAGCATAGAAACTTCCGAGGCAGGAGCCTTTATTACTAACCCATTTTATAGATAAATGTTGAGGCAGATGCTGAGTAACCGACCAGAGGTTACAAGTTCAAGATCACAATCAATCATTAACCCAAGACTGAAGCATGATTGGTGCCAGAGCCCAGGCTGTCGCCCACTGTTCCATCCCACTGCACTCTTAAGATGCAGGGATGCAAGGTACAAGGAGAGGTTAGCCCATTCAGCTCCAGGAGGGAAGGGCCTGTGCAATCTTAAAGGATAATACTTAAGCGGGAAGGAGAGAAAAGGGGTAGAGACTTTCAGCAGGACTGGCCTGACAGGTCCAAGAGACACAGGAGGCAGTGAGGTGCTCAGGGACCTGGAAGCAGCAAGTGGGTGGGAGACTGTGGATGACCCCAGAGGGTTGTGTAGTCAGTGATGGACCCTGAGCTCCATTCCAGTAGCAGTGGGAAGCCATTGCGGCGTAAGTCAGCGAGCACCAAAGTAGTCAGTGAAGCATTTTAGTAACCTCCAAAGGCATTTTTAAAAGATGAAGCAGAGTAAATGAGGTTTTTGGAGACATGGACTCAAGCTGAGTGTATAAATTTAAGAAAGTATTCCATTCACTCTAAAGCCCACTGTGGCTCCCTAGTCCTAGCAGGTGGCTTCTCATCCAGCCAACAGTGGATACCACTGCTGCATAGCCAGGCCAGGGTGTTCCTGCACCTCTACTCCTCTCAGTATCCCCTTCACCCTGTAACTCCTCTAGTTCCTTTTCTCTAATGGAGGGGTGTTTGTCCTCCCTCTCCAACTCCACTCAACTGCCCAACCCACAAAGGCCCACAGCTCCCTCTCCAAATCCTTGTGCCCACTACCCTCACAGGTGAGGGGGTTTTAATGTTGAACGTAGCTGCCCTCTGTCCCACTGCCCAACCTGCCCTGCAGTGATTTCAGATTTGCAGTAATGGGTCGGTCTTCCCATGAACTGTGAACTCCACGAGGTGGACGGCAGGTCTGTCCTACCTTCCCACTGTCCATGGGACCACCCTCAATGCCTGGCCCAGCACAGAAGCGGAATTCAGAATTAGCCGAGTGTAATGGGAAGCCCAGGGGTGGCCAAGGATTGCTATGGGATGGTTCCTGGCCTTGCACTTGGTAGAGGGCCAATACCTGTGGAATGACCCTTCATGGTCTCACAGCTAGGCACCTAGGAGGTGAGAAAGGCAAAAGAGGCAGGGGGTGGGCTTCCAAAGGAGGGAGTAGAGGGAGAATAGAAACCAAGACAAGAACAAGCCTCCCAAACAGCATGTCTTTATTGAGCACCTACTGTGCTAAGTTCTTCCCATGTTTGTGTATTTAACCCTTATCACAATTAGGCGGCTAGGTACTATCCCTCATTCACATCTTACTATGGCTCAGAGAGGTTAAGTGACTTGTTCAAGGCCACTCAGCTAATAGAGGGAAGAACAGAACTCTCTACCGCAGGTCAGGGGGAAGGAGGAAGGGTTAGGTGGAGAGGTTCCTTACCAGGAGAGCCCAGGAGGATGTGCACAAGGTCCTTATAGAGGATGAGGGTGGCTGGCCGCTCAGGGAGCAGGTAGAGGCTGACAGATGCATACACTGTGGGAAGGGCAGCCGGTCAGCACCAGAGAAGGCGCCCCTCCCCAGGCAGGGTTCTCTGCCTTCTGAATCTCAGTGGCTTCATCCTCCCCAAACCAAGCCCCTCTGCATACCCAGCCCAGAAGCAGCTGCTGGAAAGCCTGCCCCCATCCCCCCGCCCAGACTATTTTGAGAAGGGGCTCTCAGAGGGTCAGCTGCTGCTGCCCCCTCCACCTGCCCCTGCACTTACAGGGCAGCTTGTCAACACGCCAGGGCACCGAGTTGGTGAGGAAGCCAGGGCGGGCTGCAGTGACCAGCACCCAAGTGCCCAGGCGGTAAGTGAGAGGAAGTATGGCCACGCCCTCTGAGTCTGTGGTGCCAGCGGCCAGCAGAGTCCGGTTCCCGAACACGTCCACTGTGGCCCGGGCCAGAGGCACCAGCTCCCCGCTTACATACACCTGCACCTTGATCTGGACCTCTGTGGGCAAGATAGGTGAGACAGACTGAGAAGAGAAGAGGTGAGGAAAGAGAGCTAAGGGGGGGTCTCAAGTACAGAAGTAAGGGCTTCTGTCTGGAGGAGGCTGTGAGGTGAGGCCAGAGAAGGTATTAGAGTCAGTATTTCTAAAGAGCTCAGTTCAAGGCCCACTGGCATATGGGTTGGGTACTGTTACCATATTTCATCAAGTTTAGACACACATACTTTTTCTTGTACATTTTAATATTTCTGAGCCCCAGTGATATCTATCATCAATGGTGCCATCATTCTAATCAGCAGCATTTTTCTTTCTTATTAAAATAAAATGATACTCTTAGAGTTAGTGGTATCTTGGATTTAATGAAACATTCTTTTTACAAACATTTTACAGATAAGAAATCTAAGGTTCAAAAGTTTTAAATTTTAGATACTTGGAGGCATTATAGTTAAGTGGCAAATCTAGGATCTAAACTCAGCAGCAGTCTGCCTCCCACTCTCTACCAGTGGACCTGCAGGGTGGGTGCCTGAGATGGTGACAAGGATAGTAGGGCTGACAGAGGTTATGTGGAGAATCAGGAGCCTGCAGGTAGAGAGGTCAGGACTTAGCCCTTCAGAAGGGAGGATAGAGGGTTCCAGAAGACTTGAGGTTCTCAGGGAGAAATGGAGCCAGGGACACTAGGGGATTGATCATTCCCATCATGAATCTCTTTCCAGAATCCTTTGCACAAGCCTTCTCTTTAGATATGGGGGCTTGTCTCAGCTTCTAAACCCAAACAAGTACCTTGTAACCCTGCCCTCTCACATATACAGCCTACCCCCTCCCAGCTGGTCAGCTATTGGTCACCATGGCAATGCCCTCATTCTTCCCTAGAGATGGGCAGAGAGCTGGGCCCTGGCACAAGGAAGGAGGTCTGGGGGTGGGAGGGGTGGGGCCTGACCCAGGCGCAGGGGAACTGTCATAGAGCGGGCTGGGAGCCTCATTTCTTTCTAGGATCACCTCTGTTCCCAGTCTGGCCAGACTGGGCCTGCAGGTGTTCTGAACTGTGATGGAGTGGGGCAGGTCTTGAGTTGTCCCCCGAGGCAGCCCCCTCTCATCTGTTTTACTACCTACTTTTTCCACTAGCAGGACTTATTTCTCAAGGATGTGCCTCACGCCTACTTTATTGCTAGTATTGGGAGTAGGTGTCCTGCCTGGAAAGGTATAGGGGCATCGATGAGGGCCCAGAGGAGGCGGGTGGGAGACTGGATAAAGACCAAGTGGAGTCTGGGTACATGCAGATAGAAGATCAGAGCTGCAGGGTGCAGGGAAGTTAGCATGTCACGGGGACTTTGGGTGAGGCTGACACTCCACAACAGGTATCTCATGTCAGACTCCCACCCCCAGGGCCAGCACCACGCCTGCCTTTGGCATCCCATCAGCTGTCCCCCTAAGCCACCTCCAGCTCCCCTCCCAGGTCAAAGCCCACCCTGCAGACCCTCTCCCACTCCATGGCTCTCCCCCTCCACCACTACTCAGAAGGAATTCTGAGAAGCTGGAGGGGCTGGACAACCACCCCCTTCCACTGGGAGCAGCTGAACTGAGCAGCTGGAGAAGGGGACCCAGTAGTCAAGAATAGGATCACTTGTGGGAATGCCTTGGGTTCCAGGGCCAGAGCTTCTGAGGAAAGGGTGTTTGGGGGCACTAAACGGGTGGGCAGGTAAGGCTTGAAAGAGGCATCAGTGACAAGCTGTGTTGTGGGAGGGTACACGGGGAGGGGGGGGGAGAAGTACTTAGCAGAGTCCCTTCCCTCTTTCCTCTGCCTGGGCACGCTGCCAAGGACCTGAGAGAGAGCCCCCTATCCTGGCTCCGTTCCAGCCAATCCTCTGGGGTTCAGAGGTCTGAGGGAGGGGCTTCCTGAGAAACTAGGGCTTCTTCCTACCTAGCAAAGCCTGCCTTTCCCTTCTAGAGAGCAAGGGAGACTGAGGCCAGGGGAATTCCTCAAAATGTGACATTCCACACATATCCGCTGCTCCAGCTCCAGCCCTGCCCCATTCCAGGAGGAAATCCGACCCCCTCCCTCCATCCGGATCCCACTTCCCTCATCATCCAGACTCACCCCCCCAACACACACACACACACACACACCCTGCTTTCTCTGCTAGCTCCTTGGTTGCAGACTGGGAAGTGGAGAGCACTGTTTCAGGCAGAATGGGGTGCAGAAGGGGAAGAGGTGGGGAACAGTTGGGGTGGTGAGACAGGAGTCTAGGAGAAGGGCACATGGCAGGGGTGGCCGGAGGCCCCCAGCCCAGTGGGTATGGAGTGTGGTGTCCCCACGTTCCCCGCTGTAGGAACAGGCCCCACCCCCACCTCACACACCCACCTGGAGGCGGTGAGGCACTGGGAGGTCTCCACTGTTAAGGAGAAGTGACATGAGGAGGGGCTGTGGAGGGGGGGCGCTCTGGGGCAACAGTGAGCGAAGGCCTGCTGGCGGAGACCCAGGCACCTGCCTCACAGCCGCCACTGCCCACAGCTAGCCAACCAGCTCAGCATGGCTCCTCGACCCTGCCATGCGCCTTGAGCTGGGGATCACAATGTAACCCTTTCTCCAGAACGCCCCAAATGCAGCTCCATCTCCATCATGGGTCGATCGTCTGTTTGGTGCACCCTAATTCTAAACCTGGGGGTTCCCTGAGGGCTGTCAGGCTCCAGGGCAAAGAACTCGATCAGTCAATCCCGCCCACAGCCTCACCCACTCCCCCTTCTCCCCTCCCCCTTCAATCCTGGCTCTAGACGCCCAGCCCCCGTCCGGGCCCTGGTGGCAGCCGATGCCGGCGCCCCCACCCAGCCGGGTCGGGAGCGAAGACCCCTTGAGGGGCTGCGATGCCAGCGCCCACCCCAGCCCGCGTCTGGGCGGGTGTCTTTGGTAGACAATGGCTCAGGCAGCAGCGCCTCGAGGACCAAAAGGGAGAAAAACAAGTCGGGAGGGGACGGCGGCGCGGAACCCGGGGACCCCCGCCCTCCCCATTGTGTCTCCTCGAGACCCCAACCCCAGGCAGTCCCTCCCCCACGCCCACTTTCCCCCATTAACACCCTCCCCAGAACGCCTAGCTCCCCCACCCAAATCCAAAGAAGAGACTACCCCCCATTCCACGAGCGCCGCAAAGACAGGGCTGGCAGACGGGAGCCAGATCGAGGGGCGCAGGCCCGCGATCGCGACCCTTCTCAATCAGGACTCACCCTGCGGGCTGGGGGGCTCGGGCGGCGATTTGCCCGGAGCCCTGGAGGCGCCGCCGAGCAGCAGCCCCAGCAGCGGCAGCAGCCGCGCGAGGACGCCGGGGCCACTCGGCGGCGGCATCGCGGGGCTCGGCCCGGCCCTA